AAGGTTCCCCTGCTCAAGCCATCACATGTACAGGCCCGTCTGAAGTTTGCCAATGACCATCTGGATGATCCAGAGGAGGCATGGAAGAAAGTCATGTGGTCAGATGAGACCAAAGTAGAACTTTTTGGTCTAAACTTCACTCGTCGTGTTTGGAGGAAAAAGAAGGATGAGTTGCATCCCAAGAACACCATCCCTACTGTGAAGCATGGGGGTGGTAACATCATGCTTTGGGGGGGTGCTTTTCTGCGAAAGGGACAGGACAACTGCACTGTATTAAGGAGAGGATGAATGGGGCCATTTATTGTGAGATTTTGAGTAACAACCTCCTTCCCTCAGTCAGAGCATTGAAGATGGGTCATGGCTGGGTCTTCCAACATTACAACGACCCAAAGCACACAGCCAGGATAACCAAGCAGTGGCTCCGTAAGAAGCATATCAAGGTTCTGGAGTGGCCTAGCCAGTCTCCAGACCTAAATCCAATAGAACATCTTTGGATGGAGCTAAAACTCTGTGTTGCTCAGCGACAGCCCTGAAACCTGACAGATCTAGAGATCTGTGTGGAGGAGTGGGCCAAAATCCCTGTTGCAGTGTGTGCAAATCTGGTCAAGAACTACAGGAAACGTTTGACGTCTGTAATTGCAAACAAAGGCTTCTGTACCAAATATTAACACTGATTTTCTCAGGTGTTCAAATACTTCTGTTCAGCAGTGCAAGACAAGTTCTTTAAAAATCATACAATGTGATTTCCTGAATTTTTTTTTTTCTTAATTCTGTCTGAGTGGGAATGCACCTACAATGTGAATTTCAGACCCCTCCATGATTTTTAAGTGGGAGAAAGTCGCAAAATCGCAGGGTGTTCAAATACTTCTGTTCCTCACTGTATACTGAGGACCCCTGGACCAAGTTAGGAATGTGGCGGTGATCAGAAACAACCAATAGCATTAAGACTGATGTTAAATAGTAGTCAGTACACACCTGACATCAATGAAAGTGACTGATTAGTGACAAACATTCAGGTGTTCTAGTAGAATTTTTCTGACATTTTACTCAGTTGCCTCTTAGAACAAAAGCTATGGTCAGCAAACAGCTTACAGAGCATCAAAGGCATCTCATTGTTGGAAGGTTATCAGTCAGGAAAAAGTTAAAAAAAAAAAAAAAAAAATTCCAAGACATTAGCTTTACCATGGAACACAGTGAAGATGGTCATCAGCAAGTGCAGAAATTACGGCACAACAGTGACATTACCAAGAACTGAACATTCCTCCAAAAAAAGATTTAAAAAAGAAAACTGATCTGGAAGGTTGCCAAAAGGCCTACAGTAAATGTTAAAGAAGTTGCAGGAATTTCTGGGAAGTACTGGCTGTTTACTACTTGTGACATCAGTCTCCCATATTTTTTTTTTTTTTTTTTTTTTTTTTAAACGTCTGGGCTTCTAGGTAGGATGGAAAGATTGAAGCCTTTTCTTACTAGAAAAACATCCAAGCCAGGCTACATTTTGCAAAAAAAAAAAAAAAAAAAAAAAAAACAAAAAAAAAAACTTACAGGACATCTGCCAACAGGGTGTGGGAAAATGAGTTATGGTCTGAGGAGTCCAAGACTGAACTTTTTGGCCTCTATTCCAAAATGTATGTTTTGTGCATAACCAACATTGTCCATTACCAAAAAACACCATAGCCACAGTGAAACATGGTGGTGCCAGAATTTTGCTTTGTGCTTTGGGGGCATTTTTCATCAGCTGGAACTGGTGCTTTAATCAACCAGAGCCCAGACCTGAAACCAGCTGAAAATCTGTGGGGGTGACTTGAGGACTGTGCAGAGGCAATACCCTCATCATCTGACAGACTTGGAGCACTTTTGCAAGGAAAAGTGGGCCAAGACTCCCACGACAATATGTGCCATGTTAATAGACTACAATCATAAAATCAAAAGATGCTTCAACCAAGTATTAAAAGGGCATGCATATTTATGCAATTGCATTAAGCCTTTATTTTTCCTCCTATACACCACGTTCACATTAGGCGCTTTGGCATCACGGCAAAAAACATTTGAGTGCCAATATTCTTAATGGCACCCCAAACATGGTGCGTTTCTGCAGCGATTGTTGCACAATGGAATCGTGCGGAAATTGCAGCAAAACTTGCCAACCAAAAAGGAGCAGATCTTTTGGGTGACAAATGTGCGAAGAGCAGCTCATTGAGACGAATAGGCTGCTCTATGCACAAAATGCAGAAACACATGTAAATTGCTCTTTCAGGATTGCAAGTGGGAAAACTTGTACCCACAACACGATATCTGAACAGGGCCCTAAAGATTTAACTTTGTTTTTAATTTCATTGTACAGATTATAGGTCACATTAAAAAGGTGGAAAATTCTTGGCTGGATTTTTTTACTTCTCAAAAACCTGTCTTTTACAGGGGTGTGTAGACTTTTTATATCCGCTGAAGGTTTGACATCCATAAGTTTGACTGTACAGAATAGGAAATTAGTATCTACAGTATTGCAAACGTGTTAAGTGGACTGGCAGCACTTCTGCTAAAGAGAGGAAAAAAAAAAAAAACTGGGTACCATATGCTAGTAGACAATAAAACAGGCAGTCTTCATGTTCTGTAACAAAGATTAGGGAATCAAGGATACTTGTTTGGCATTGTACCGTTTTCATTTCTCTGCAGTATGATCATTGTGCAGGATATCCTAGTGCTCACCGGGCAGCAGTGCAGTTGCCTTTTTGACCAGCTGAAAGGTTACTGCCAGAACACTGACAGACTGGCAGCCTCATGAACAATGCGCAGTATTTACCATTGACTTTGTCACTTCAATTTCACATTCTTACTTGCAAATGGTATTTATTTTCCCTCCCATTCACAGGATTTTACAGATCAGTACGCCAGCAGCCAGTAGAATTTGGGGATATAGGAGGTCGGACACACATCAGCTATGTCCATTGGTATGAATGTGGAATAGCAATACCTGGAAAGTGGTAAAACGTCTCCCACGACAGATTCATGGACTCACTCCAACTGCCATCATCATTTCTATAGAGAATGCGCTAGCTTCAGTCTACTCATTACCTTCGTGTCTACTAATGTAAAATATGTATGAAATCTTTCAAGTAATTGATTTTATTATGGAAATAACAGACTGCTTCCATATTTATCAAGATTAATACTAAGGATATTGTTTTCATAGGATAAAATCTCGGGAAGCTGGCTCCCTGGTTTTGGTATTTTAAGAAGAGCAGTGTCTATGTTATTTATCACAATGTTGTAAGAAATATTTTGATGCAAATTTCTATTCAATATACAGTATTCTTGAAATAACTAAGTTTAATTAAGAAGTCTCTATTCACAGTAATCTTCATCTAGCTTCATCATGATTTAATTTATTTTACTGAAAAAAGTGTGGTTTGCAATTTACCGCACAATGATGACCTTATTCCTTTTACTGTATTTCTTGAAAACAATGTGTCAACATTGATTTTATAACAAGCACTGGGGAATATACCTAGTAACTGGTGAGGATTAGGAATAGGTATGAAAATCCATTCAATCTATACAGGAAACATTGAAACTGAGCTGGAGAGTGCACTGATAAGCAAAATGTTTCCATTGCTGTAAACTATGTCAGTCATTAATTATCTCCCTCTGAACCACCTGCAGATTGTGGATACAGTAAATGGACCGAGGATTTATTCTAATGAGGCAGGTACTTAATTGTGTTCATTCTTTGGTGCAAGGTTCCATTTTCTTTTTTCCCGGCTAAAATCATTTTAAAATTAACATAAGCATGTGATTTATAAATAGATGTGTAATTAACTTTCTACAGAATGTACAGTATATCCAATACAGCTTTATTTCAAAAAGCAGCAATGTTTTGTATCTGAGAAAAGCCGTATATGAACTCTACAATAAAGACATTGATTTTGTTTTTTATCATCAGTATTACTTTTTTTTGTATGGCACTTACGTTACAAATGTGTTGTTTAAATTAAAACAAATCAAAATATCTGTTGGAAGACGGGCTATAGTTTATACCTTTATTTGTATCCAAGACAGCAGTATGACATCAGTTATAGAAAAGTGCAAATTTATGGTTTTCCTTTTCTCTTCAGCAACTTCTTGTTTAGAAAAATATAACCTACCAGCAATTGACTAGAACAGCCACATTTAACATCACCAAAAAACAAATTATATATATATATATATATATATATATATATATATATATATATATATCTATATATCTATCTATAGTGTGTGTGTGGTTTTATTTTACTACACTAACTGATCATGTGATTAAAGAGGGTATTCCCTTCTATGGTGCAGACTGGAAGGAAGTACTATATGAAAATGTTTAATAAAAATCCATGCAGGGTATAAAAATGACCTGGGTGGCTGTTATTTCCACAACAAAAGAAAAATGGCAGAAGTTTTCTCAGCATATATTTGTTAACTCCTGTTTAAAACATTTAAAAACAAATTGCAGTGACTATCTCAGCATGTGCGAACAAATGACAATACAGTTTTGCATTTTGCCGTATGTGCAGCACACACACCAGAAAGACCAGCAATAAGGATGTGTTAGCCGATTATAAAATCACACAAAAAAGAAAAAAGGGAATTTTAACATTTTATTAGGTTTTGGTGACTGTTAGATTTTGTACATAATATCTACTTTTTACTTCAAAAACAGATCTAATAGGACACATCAGAATGTTAAAAACAAACAAGTGGGGTTTAGCATGTTTTCACGTGTTTGACAATGCTGTCTAATGTGTCAAACACATCACTGGTTTGGGAATTCGATTTTAACTAGTGAGCAAATACAATCAGAAGCAAGAAAATAATCATTTGGTCTCTTCCTCCAGTAAAGTTGCACAACAGCAGAAAATCAGAGAACGTTTTTATACTGCTGTGTGACATTTCATTACAAGTTTGTGAGCATAAATTTGAAGTCTGTTTGGATGGAAACAGATCTAGCAGTCAAAGTAATGATACTGTATTTATCGATAACCAGGACCAGGCTGGGTATAGCCCTGACCAAATGGAGGGCGGTTACGAGCATATGGATTAGGCCCACTTGGAGGAGGAGTTACAGTACTACCAGGTGGAGAGGTAAATCCTGGCCTAGGCTGATAGCTACCTGGCTGGCTAGGAGCCATTCCAGGCTGGGAAGCAGGGGGAACATTGTAGTTAGCAGGCTGAGAAGCTTGTGTAGTGTAAGTCTGTGGTGGGTAGGAGCCAGCAGGGTACTGCTGAGGAGCTTGTGATGGTAGCTGTTGTGCCTGGCCTTGAAAGCCAGATGCAGGAGCCTGGGCTGCTTGCTGACTGTAACCGGGAAACTGCTGTGGTGCTTGTGGTGTTGTTTGCTGACTGTAGCCTAGAAGACAAGACAAAAGGATTTGGTTATGGAATACGTTCACACATGTTTAAGAGCTTTCTTCTGGAAATATACTGGTTACAGTAAGCGTCGCTGGGAGTGTCATGCCTCTCCGTACATAATAAAACTTAATTTCATTGCTCCAGAGACTCGCAAAAGGTTGCCTGGAATCTTCAAATCCCATGTACACAGGCTACTGTTCTAAACATGAAGGGTGAATATGAACGTCGTGTGTACCGACTGTCTTACCGGGATACTGCATTCCATACTGCTGCTGGGGCTGAGCTGCCGCCTGGGGCTGACCTTGAGCTGTTGGATATCCAGGCTGTTGAGGATATTGCTGATAAATTTGGCCTGTAGACAAAGCAAATCATTTTATTTTTAAAAATGTCACTTGTCATGGAATCCAAAGCTACATTTATGCAGACAATAGGGACTAAAAAAAAATCTTCTAAAAATAAGGAGGCAAGCCTTAAAGTTTTTGTGTTTTTTTATGTTTAAAAGGTACATGCAAAATAGCTGTAGAATAGGTTGCCCTAAGATGAATTTCTCTCTTTATCCAATGAACAATTACATACAATAATACAGTATAAATCAGTTATATTTATTGGTGCACTGAAATTAAAATTCTGGGGCTGTAAACGAAAAACAAACTTGGCCGAAAACCGAAATATGCAGTTTTTAAAAATGAATTTATATTTTTTGGAGAAAAAATACACTTTGATAAAAAAAAATTATATATATATATATATATATATATATATATATATATATATATATATATATATATATATATATCCCAATATTTTTGTAAAATATGAAAGAGGATGTTACGGCGAGTAAGTAGATACCCAACATGTCACGCTTTAAAATTGTGCACGCCCGTGGAATGGCGTGAAACTACGGTACTTAAAAATCTCCCTAGGTGATGCTTTAAAAATTTCTACAGGTTAGCAGTGTAAAGTTACAGAGGAGGTCTAGTGCGAGAATTATTGCTCTTGCTCCAACGTTCGTGGCAATACCCCACGTGTGTGGTTTGAACACCATTTACATATGTGGGCATGGCCTACGTATGCGTTCACCACTACGTGCGAGCACAGGGGGGCAGGGGCACTTTAAACTTTTTTTTTTTTAAAAAGTTAATTTATTTGCACTGTTCCTATAAAAAAAATGTTAATCACTTTTATTCTTATCACAAGAAATGCATGCATCCCTTGTGATATAAATAATTAGTGACAGTTCCTCTTTATGGAGAGATAAGACCCCACATCTCTCCTCTGCAATGTAAAGCATTGGATCAAAAAAAAAAAAAAAAAAAAAAAAAAAAAAAAAAAAAAAAAGCATTGATCTAGTGCTTTTAAGACATTTTTAAAAATGGCCGGAAAGGGAAGTGACACCCCTTTGGTCCTCCAAGAGCATAGAGATGTGTGGCGGCCATCTTTTCTTCACTCATCTCTGCCCAGCGCCGGGATCGATGGTTACTCAGGTAAGACTGAGCTACCGAACTGCGGCCGGTGGCGAGAGCGGGCGGGCCAGCAGCGGCAAGGGGGGGGGGTCTTTTTCGACACACCTGTATTGGTGTTTTTTTTTTTTTCCTTCATTTCGGTCGAAAGGGGTGTTTTCGGCCAAAACGTTTTGGCCACCGAAAGTTCGGTGCATCCCTATTTATATTTATAATCAGATATAAAAGATATATACACGGAGTTAATTTAGCATAAAATCGGTGGCAGGACAAATTAATGTAGTTCATGAAAAAAAAAAATTTACTTTTAAAAAAAAAAAAAAAAAAAAAGGTACCATGCTACTACTTAGGTTTCAATTCGTAATCAAGAACAAATCTAACTACATTAAAAAAAAAAAAAAAAAAAAAAGAATTTACATACCTGTACATTTCATCTTAGAATACAATACAGGACACAGATTGATAGACCATGGGTTATTTGCCACTACCTCTAGGAACCTGAACATTGGCGAAAGCTTCGCTGGGTCCACCCCTTGTGTATCTATATAACGTAGCACACTCTGAGAGACTTCAGTCTTTCAACAAACATTAAGGAGATAAAGATGTGTGGGACCCGTGTCCTGTGCTGTACGCTAAGATTTGGAATTTTCCAATACCTCAAAGTTCCAATTATTTTTATCGAAGAGTAGAGGAAACAGGAATAGATTCATAGACCCTGGTACACCCTCAAGCAATAAATCAAAGGGTTGGGAACAAACCAGCTAAAACAGCAACAACAGGACCACAGATAAAAAAAAAAAAAAAAAAAAAAAAATCACAGTCACTGTAAAGAAAAACAAACAAAAAAAAAAAAAACAGATCACACTGTAAAAACGTTTGACCAAACTCAAAGTAAAAAACACACAGGGCTGTCTGAAGGGGGCAACTGGATAACATGAGAATTCAACTTATGAGGGGCAACCAACAAATGCAAACAAGAATATTTACATGAGCATTGGACAGAGAATGTCATACTGAATGATTTCAGGAATAAACCTGGATCCTGGGTACTCAAGCAACAAGTTTTAAAAAAAAAAAAAAAAAAAAAAAAAAAAAAAAAAAAAAAAAAAAAAAAACGGCTCAGCCTCAAAGTCGTATTGTGAGCTGCAGTAGTCAAGCATATGATGCAAGTCTTCAGCCTCAGGAGTTATGTGGTAGTCAGTCTCAAGGGTGCCTTAAGTTTGTTCAGGGAGTGAAAAAAAATAGCACCATAACAATGGTAAATAAGAAAAAGAGAAAAAACACAGATAAAACAAATCCTCCCTACACAAGTTTTACTTGTTTATCTGCACTCTTCTCTTTTCTACATCTATTCAAAAGTGATTTTTTTTAAAAATCAGTGTTACATTTTTTACAATAAGTAGTGTACAAAACATACAAAATGAGTAGACAAGGCACAAGTAGCCCATGCAGGGGCACTGCCCTGTAGCATCAAAAAGGCACAATACAGATATGATACAGGTTTTGTATCACAGAACAAAAAGGAAAACAGATTAAAGAAATCATTAAAACAAAAACCCTTACTGTACCAGAAATAAGGTACAAAAAACAAATTGCCAGTGGTGCAAGGCTTCAACACACAGAGTTATACAGTGAGAACCAGACCCATCTAGAGTCCCACATCATTGTCAACATAGTCATGCACATATTCTCTCAGGGAGTCCATTGAAGTGGTTGTTGAGGAATTATCCATCCAACATGTCCAGACTCTTATAACGTAGCAGGGCTGCCCTGTTATAATCTCATATTGGCAACACGTTATTGATGTTATTGCCTCTATAACACATTCCTATGGGTATATCACCTAGACACCCGTTTATTAGGCCTGTTTGAGGAATTGACCCCTGAGTTAGCTACAAAAAGTTTGATAAGGCTGCTGCTTTTTTATGCCAGGAAAGCTATAACTCTTTATTGGAAGAAGCCCAATCCCCCCTCTGTTCGCTTCTGGATGAAACTGGTCAACTCTATTCTACCCATGTATCAAGACACCTACCATAATAGAGAGATTTTAACAGGGCACGTCCAGAATATCAGCATGAAGTGTACCACCGGATGCGAACATCTCCAGTAAGATGCTGAGATGTTAGAATCCATCCTATGGAGTCTGTACGGTGTATAAAAAAGGCTTTGTGAACAATTTTGAATGGATTTAACCACTTGCCAACCGCGCTATAGCCGAATGATGGCTACAGCACGGTTGTCCAGTTCTCCCAGAAAGCGCCCTCCCGACCACCCCCAGAGCTCTCCATGATTGTGATCCTACAGACGCAGCTGATCACATCATGAGGTAAAAGACCAATCACAGTGGCCTTTTACCACGTGATCAGCTGTGTCCAATGACAAAAGTAAAAGTGTCCGGTAGGCAAGTGGTTAATTTGTCCCTGGCAGACACCAAATGAGTAAAAGGAAATTCTCATAACTAACCAATCTTCCCCATCCAACTCCAGGACATCAGCTCTCCCTTTCTGCCCAAGTGAAGACAACTCAGGTAAAGCTGCTACTATGAGATAATGGTAAAACCCTGAAGTAGGCTTCTGCAGGTCAGGTACTCGTAACACAGACTCCAGTTCTGAATAGGAGAGATCCAGTTGTCTGCTGGGAAATTGAAGGCATGGGCAACTCGAAAATACCTAAACTGATAATGTAATGGGAGGTTAAATTTGGGATGCAAGGAAGGAAATCATAACAGCCTGTGATTCCAATGTTTTAATCTTATACTTGGCTCAAGCATAAGGTTCAGGGAGAGTATGAAAGTGTGACCAAGAAGGGTTGAGCCAGAGAAGAGTATGAGGTGAGAATGGATTTGGTGAAATAGATTCAAAACGGAGTCCCATTTTCCAGGCCTTCAAGGTAGTACACAGATTGGGCCAACCCATAAGGGGCTTTTGGACCGCCAAATAGTAAACAATGAAGAGCTTCCATCGAGTTAAGGAAAGCAGCCTCCAATAAGGTAGCAGAGTTAGTACAATCAGGTTGTAACCACCAATGGGCCGTAATCAACTGGGAGGCTAGGTAATATTTGTAACTATCCGACATAGCTAGGCCACCAAACGAGAGGGTGGTCTGGTAAGAGTACTTTGTTTATATCTGGGTGGTTTAGATCCCCAAAGGAAAGATATAAAAACTGCTTAGGGAGCCATTGGGTGGAGTTCCGAAAGAGAATTAATGCGGCCAATTAAGGACAGGGGTAAGTTGTGCCACGCTCTTCAATTTGACAATCCCCAAATAAGTAAAGTATCCACCCACTGCAACTGGAGGGCACCAGAGGATGATCCACATGCCCCAATATTGACTGGAAAAAGTTGTGATTTGTGCCAGTTAACTTGCAAACCAGTAAAGTCTACAAACGCATTCATTACCTCAAGAGCGCCTTGTAAGGAGGGGCCGGCATCGTTCCAAAATAGAAGGTGGTCAGCATATAAGGTCACCCCTCTCTTCCAACAAACCTATCCACAAGCCCTTTATATTTGGAGACACTATAACATCCTCTGCAACAAGTTCCATCGCAAAGGCAAGTAAAGTTGGAGAAAAGGTGCAGCCCTGCCGTGTAACCCCCTCCCCCCCAATGAAGTAAAAAGGGTGGCGAAAGAAGAGTATCTAAGTGAACCTGGGCTGAGATGTTTTGTCATGCTTTCAACCAGTAGATACAGCAGAGCGGGAAGCCCATTCTCCTCAGAACCTAGGGGAGTTGGGGATCTTTCTGAGGCTTAAGCAGAAGGAACAGATGGGCTTCTTGCATGGAAGGAGGCAGAGTACCAGAATTTAGGAAATTATATAAAAAGAGGCCGAGTTTTGGGACCATTCGGTCCTGGTGACTTGCCATTCGGGAAGAAACCAATAGCTGTCATTACTTCCTCTAGAGTGATCTCACAAACCAGAGAAGCACGTTCGAAGTCGGAAAACCAGCCCAAAACCAGGGGGTCCAAAAAGGGGGCCCAAGGATGAGGGGGAAGTCCAGCAGGAGAGAGGGGGAATACAAATTAGTATAGAAGTGAGTAAAACTCATCTACGATGGCTTCCTGCGTGGATAATACGACACCCACGTATTTAGGGGATTATAGTAGGTGGGCAATCGTGTTGCACCAAATGGCAAATGGCATGGCAAATGGTGACAAAAATGGCAAGAAGTCTACCATTTTTGTCACCATGTTCAAAGAATTCCTGCCTGCGGTTACTAATGGGGCAGCTGCTTCAATGTAGGCATCAAGACAGTTTCCAAAACAGAAGCTTGCCATCAAAGGGCATGCGCAAAAGTCACCTCTCCCAGTAAGTCATCCAAGCTTTGAGCCAGTCCAAAAAGTATGGACATATTGGAGATCTAAATGAATACATTCAATGATGATTCAATGCAAGAAAAGCAGGGTCCACATTGGGAACAGAGCATTGCTTCTGAAATTTTATGCCCATCAGACACAAAAAGGTCAAAGCAGTATGGAGGGGGAAATAACTTCTCGGAATTTGGTCAATCATTTTATAAAGACCCATATTGCATGATCCAGGGAAAGAAAAGGCCTTTTCTTGAGCTTTTAAAATATGGAGGGAAGCTGTGCAGCGGTAGGTGTGTCAAGAGACTAGTACGCACTGCCTTCAAGAGTTTACAGTAGACAGCATGTGTAGAGGAGTTAAAGATGTCCTGAAATTGAGGCAGTGAAATTTTTTTGAGACACCCCTGCTAAAATATCAGCATCTCCGCATTTATTCTGCCTTAGTCAAACAGGCCACATGGTCAACGTCTGCGAGAGCCCTAGTCAGGGTGCTGGAATGATGTTGAGCCTTGCTCCAGAACAGGGAAACTTCTATTTGGAGTTTACTCAAGGCCTAGAGCATGCTCACTGATGTCTGTCCCATATGTTTCTACTCCCAAATGCCTGTAATCTGCCATTAGTGCGAGTCCGCACCTGCAGGGTACTCACAGAATGGATGTGGATTTAGGGGGTTCAGCAGGTCTGGAATGAAGGAATCACAATAACCCAGGCGAGTTCCAATGGCTGTCTTGGAGGTATCTGGCAACAGGTGGGACACCAAACAATCTGCTTGCATTGTCAAAACAGAATGGCGGCTGGAGATGCACGGTTAGTGATGTAGTACTTACAAGACTCCTAACAGGAGAGAAATCTCCAGTGGTAAGTTGACAAAAGACTGCAAAATTTAAATAGGTAAACACTATAACAATGTTACCTAAAAATCCAATGGTAAGAGACAAAAAAGGTAAGGAAAAACATTGAAAGTATCAATCCCACCATAACCTGTGCCTTCAAAACCACTGGTGTGCATTGCACTGCAGTGTGCTTTGTAGGATAAGGATGTAGTGAATATATAACAGATCCATCAAGACATGTATAGTTATGAGCCGGTATGTAAAACATACAAGGAAACCCTGCCTTATCTTGTTGATGTTGCTGGTCCCATTCAGGATCCAGGCTTGCTTAAAGAGGTCTGCAGGCCCTGGGTACAATAGGAATGGACCAAGGCCCTGGACCTGTACGGCACCCTCATTCACTCATTGTTCCACATGCCACGGTAAGCACCAAATGCAAGATCCAGTGCCCAAAGCAAACATTACAGGCTTGCCATGCTACTGCAAGTTACATAGGTCTGGCTGAAAAAAAAAAAGACAAAAAGTCCATCCAGAACAACCATAGAAAAAAAAAAAAATTATAATTCTATACCCACAGTTTATCCAGAGGAAGGCAAAAAAAAAAAAACCCAGCAAAACACTATTCAATTTGCTCCTGCTGGGAAAAAAATTCCTTCCTGATCCCCCGAGAGGCAATCGGATATTCCCTGGATCAACTTTACCTATAAATGTTAGTATCCAGTTATATTCTGTGTATCTAAGAAACAATCCAGGCCTTTTTTTGAAACAATCCACTGAGCTGGCCAGAACCAAATCTTGAGGGAGTCTATTCCACATTTTCACAGCTCTTACTGTGAAGAAACCTTTCCGTGTTTGGAGATTAAATTTCTTTCCCTCCAGACATAAAAGAGTGCCCCCTTGTCCTCTGTGATGACCTCAGGGTCAGGGTAGCTCTACACCGAGTTCACTATACGAACCACTGATGTATTTATACATGTTGATCATATCCCCCCTTAATCTCCTCTTCTCAAAAGAGAATAAATTCAGTTCCTCTAATCTTTCCTCATAGCTGAGCTCCTCCATGCCTCTTATCAGTTTAGTTGCCCTTCTCTGTACTTTCTCCAGTTCCCCAATGTTCTTTTTGTGAATTGGTGCCCAAAACTGAACTGCATATCCCAGATGAGATCTTACTAATGATTTGTACAGGGGTAATATGATATCTATCTCTGGAGTCTATACCTCTTTTAATACAAGAGAGGATTTTGCTCACTTTAGAAACCGCAGCTTGGCATTGCATGCCATTATTAAGCTTGTGATCTACCAGAACTCCCAGATCCTTCTCCACCATTGATTCCCCCAGTTTTACTCCCCCTAGTATGTATGATGCATGCATATTCTTAGCCCCCAAGTTCATAACCTTACATTTATCTACATTAAACCTCATTTGCCACATAGTTGCCCAATTACACAGTGCATTGATGTCGGCTTGCAAGTTGAAGACATCCTGTAAGGACGTTATTCCACTGCACAGCTTGGTGTCATCTGCAAAGACTGAAATAGGATTTTTAATCTCAGACCCTATATAGTTTATAAATATATTAAAAAGTAAGGATCCCAATACTGAACCTTGGAGTACACCACTGACAACCCTAGACCATTCAGAGTATGAATCATTAACCACTGCTCTCTGAATACGATCTTTTAGCCAGTTTTCTATCCATTTACATACAGATTTTTCCAAGCCCATAGACTTTACCTTACACATTAGCCGTGTATGGGGAACTGTGTCAAATGCTTTTGCAAAATCCAAGTATACCACGTCCACCACCACCCCTCTGTCCAAGGTTTTGCTCACCCCCTCATAAAAAGAAATCAGATTTGTTTGACAACTTCTGTCTTTCATGAATCCATGCTATCTGTTGCTTAAAATATTTTTTTTTCCAGCAAGAACTCATCTATGTGGTCTCCAGTGTCTTCCCAACTATAGAAGTTAAACTAACAGGTCTATAATTACTTGGTAAAGATTTTGACCCCTTTTTAAATATTGGCACCACATTGGCCTTACGCCAACCCAGTGGCACTATGCCAGTCATTAAAGAGTCCCTATAAATTTGAAACAATGGCTTTGAAATGACAGAGCTCAATTCTTTAAGGACCCGGGGGTGTATGCCATCCAGTCCAGGTGCTTTATTCACCTTTATACTGTCTAAATGTTTTTGGATCATAACAATTGTGAGCCAATGTGGATCATCTGGAGCTGTGTCAATACCATGCCCATTATGGACAGGAGCTCCTCCATGTTCCTTTGTATACACAGAGCTGAAGAAGGTATTAAATAAATTTGCCTTCTCTTTGCCCCCAGTCACCCACTCTAGATTATTTTGTAAAAGGCCTACATGCTCGGACCAGACCTTTTTACTATTAATATATTTGAAGAATTTTTTTGGGGTTGGTCCTGCTATCTTTTGCAATCTGTCGTTTGTTTTCAATTTTTGTTCCCTTTGTTTCCTTTTTTCAATATTCTGTTATATTCTTTGTAATGTTTAAACGAGAATAGCATTCCTTCATTTTTATATTTAATGAAATCTCTTTTCTTACTATCTATAGCCTTTTTAACTTTGGCCGTAAGCCATATAGGTTTGATTTTTAGCCTTTTAAACTTGTTGCCCATGGGAATATATTTTGCAGTGTGTTCACATACAGTCTTTTTGAAGAACTCCCATTTGTGTGTTGTGTTCATCAGTGCCAATATTCCCTCCCAGTCTAAGTCTTGAAGAGGAGCTCTCAGCCTTGGAAAATTAGCTCTCTTGAAATTGAGCGGTTTTATTTTTCCCGTATGTGCTTGCTTTTAACAGCTAACAATAAATGAAATCATGTTATGGTCACTGCTACCCAGATGTTCTTTTATATGGACATTTGTAATAAGCTCTGCATGGTTTGAGATTACCAGGTCCAGCGGAGCATCATTCCTAGTAAAAGTCAAAGGTAACAGATCAAGAAACTCCTAGTAAGCAGTCAAATATTAATAGAAGTGTCAGCTGAATGATGGTAATGCAAATCTGGTGAAAAAAATAGAAGTTCTTCCCCAAAAGGAGAACGTGTCCATCTACTAAGGACACTAACAAAAAAAAAAAAAAAAACAACACGGAACCTCATGGAGTAGGTGTGGTTATATGGATGTACTAAGGAGCATACCCAGGGAAACTTTTGCCCGCGTCCAGTCACCTGAAGGTAGCACCATATAACCCATGGTCTATGAATAGCTATGTGGTTTGTACTGGACTCCAAGATATGGAATTTACAGGTACATAAATTCTAATTTTTATTTAATCAGCATTGACCTTGAATATTATTTGAAAGTTGAATTCAGATAAATTCATCTGCTTTTATGTACTGTTTGATAAAAAACAAGTAGTTTTATCTAGTCACAAAGGCATGCAGATCTACATGACTGACATGCAGAAATCAAAGCATGCCAAGTACAATACATAACCTGACCTTCAATCTGACCTGGCTGCTGAGATCCTGGGTAAGGCTGTTGCTGAGGCTGAACTCCGGGTGGATGAGCTGAGGAGGAAGAAGCAATACTATCCGGAGTACTGGACCGTTCTTCTACTGGGGCACTAGGAGGTCCTGCAAGCAACAATTTAAAAACAATGTCAACAATTACAATTACATACATATAAACCTCAGCTTACCTCACATATAACAGGGTGTTTAACTGTGTGTGCAAAATGCTAATGTACAACCAGTGCTCTTGTACAAACAAGAGCGTTTTCATTACAGTGGAACTTCACTCTCTCAATCAACACGATTTTGAATACTTCTGCTGCTAGCATTAGTAAATAGAAAGTATATCATTTTTAATTTTAAAATGTATTTAACATTTCATTAGTTACTTCCTGGTTTACATGCCTAGGCAAATTATGTCATACATCCCAGGAGTCTTCAAGAGGGGCTCTCTCAGCCAAGAGCGTCCTCATCAAACCGACATGCCTGAGCTAAGGGAAGATGGATTCCAGAAAGTAATTGCTACATGAATCATCTCAGGATGGCTATGGCCAGAAATGCTAGGGAAGTGTTTTTCAAAGTGATTTCTCAGCAAAATAAAGTATGGAGACATGGATGGATGGAGGAGTTTACTTTGATTAAAAAGGAATTAAAATATCGCCTTTGGTTTGTGGTGCTCAGGTACAGTGTAGTTCCGCTTTAATATCAGTGTATACAAAACTAGCATTCAGGGTTTCAGGGATCAACTGAACATAAAATAGCTTGTTTCAGCTCAGTAATAACATAAACTGATTATCCTTCTAACTGTAAAGTTTAGTTCTTCTATTCCAAAGCTTCGATGAAAGGTTAATTACAATTTTTGTTAACCAGAATGTTGAGTTCTCAACGGTTTCGGAGGATTATTAAACTTGTTGTGTTCACTTCAAATTCTTAATACTATATTCATGACAATGGACTGGTCAAATATTTACAGTATGCAGCACTTGCTGCCAATAATTTTAACTAGCCTTAAGCTGTTCATGTGAAAACATACCAGTAACCTGGTCCTCAGTCAGTCCGAAAGCTGACATGACATTTTTGTTGATCTCATCTGGATTCTTCAGAGGATCAAACGCAGACATGCTAGCAGCCATGACTTGTGTAGACGGCTTAACTGAGGAGTCAGGAGCAGCAGGCTTCTCTTCTCGACCATCCACAGTTTCTGCATTAGCAAAAAAGAACCCCTCTAAGTTTCCTCTCATGTTAGGACAAAGACATACAAAGTGAAATGATGGATGTACCTGCATCTGGCAGGCTGGTTGGAAGTCCAGGTTCTGCAGGCGGTTCTAAACAATCTAGTAGACGGTTGACTTTGTTACGCAGTTCTATCAATTCTCGACGTAAATGCTTTACTTGACTGGACTCGAGTGGCCGTGGCTGTCCATTAACTATTGATAACAGAATTTAAAAAAGCATTAAAACCAAATATATATATTTGTGAAACTATTACTTAAAATAATAAAACCTGCAATATGTTACAGATTAAAAAAAACAAACATTCCAATAATTAACATTAACCTGTCAACTATTCTAAACATTTAAAACAAAGTCCTGGTCCACGGCTTCTTCCCATTTTTTTTTTTTAATCATTGGGATGGTTTTGTTAAGTTAGATTGATAGAATACATTCATTAATATGATTTGCGCAAAGTAAAAAGCCCTTCCCAAGACCTCGCACCACATGGTGTATATTAACATAATAGCAGGAAAGCCCCTTTCCCTCCCATCTCTCTTAATGTCAAATTATTGCAAAAGGCCAAAGTCATCCTCGAATGCCATCTTCCTGTCCGATGAAAGAACTTTAAAGATCTTAGGATCACTCTTACTGGACAAGGGTATAGACAGAGCTTATCCATGTCAAGTCTTAGGAATAAAGAGTGATGCAAAGATTATGGTTTGGCTATTGAATAATAAAAGTGACAGCAGGCAGACTTTATGTTTAAATAGTTTAAAATGGCTTACAGATTTACATTAAAGGGTATGTCGTTACAAGAAAAAAAAAAAAAGCACATCTCTGCAACACATGCACAGTTCCGTGTTTCATTCTTTTGCTGCAAGTACAGAAAAATACCTATTTATCCGCAGAAATCCAGTGTGCTCCTAACACACTGTTTGGGGGCAAGCAATGTGCCGTTGCATCATTGAAATATAGAACTCTGCCTATATGGCCCCTCACTGTCCCATTCTATATGAATAAACTGATTTACAGCTAACAGTGCTAACGGTCTACACACTGTAAATTGCTCTTGGGGCGTGTCTATGACAGTAGAACCTGACCTTCTAGAACTTGACCCTGCAAGAATTCTACAATCCTAATGTCACTGGGAGTAATACAAACCACCTCCAAGAGAAACAAGGTAAAAGAAAAAACAAAAAAAACATTGGAAATAGACAAGAAGGGAAAGAGGTTTCAGTATGAATTTGGGTAATGCCTGGACATACATTTTAGGCTCCATGCACACCAGCATTTTTTTTTAAAGCTCAAAAAAAGTAGAGTTAGCATTTTATTAGTGTTTTTACAGTACACGTAGAGAAAAAAAAATTGCTAGAAAAAAGCCGTTAGGAGCATTTTAGCAGCGTGTAGCGTTTTTTCTGCTGGAAAAACGCTCCAAAAAAAACTACAAAAACATTTTTTTTTTCTGCTCCTAGATGCTGAAGCTCAAAAAAATGCTAATAGTGTGCATGGACACATAGGATAACAATATTTAGTTTCTCGGAGCAGAAAAAAAAAAAAAAAAAAAAAAAATATGCTGCTAACAGCTTCTAGGAGCTTAAAAAAAAAAAGTGCATGGAGCCTTAAGGGGAACAAAAGCAGAATATCCCATTTGACTTCTCTGGGCAAGTATATAACAAGAAAAAAAGTAAACAAGACCATCATCTTAATGATTCACCAAATATGAAGCTGCATTAGTGAATGTGGCGCTCTTATCCAAAATATCAAAATACATAATGTTGTTTTAACAAGAAAGCACATGATAACGTGAACAGATTGTTCAGTGTCACATGGATAATCATATGTTAACAAAAACAAATAAGTCAGAATATATGAGCAAGTATGGCTTTTCAGCAGAGGCATCTGGATAATTAAATATCTTGGTGCCAAGACGCAGTAACTGATATGGAGCAGAGAGTACTGACACAATCTGGATAAAAAATGCACAACATATAAACAAGAAAACATGTTTGTCAGACAGCATTCTAAATTGTTGTTGATCATTAAATACTTCTAATAGACTGCACTCAGAGAGGTGGACCTCAGCAAAAATGAAATGTACCACGTTCTATACACCACCACCCACTAAGGGCTCGTGCACATGCCACTGCTGCTCACACAGCAATTTCGGCTACAGAGCCATTGGGCAGGGGGGGTGTGACACTCGTTATCACACCACACACTTTTTCTTTTTTTGTTTAATACGGAGCTATATTTGAAGAGTACAATGTAATACTTCACACAAGGGCGAAAATAATAATTTGATCCCCTGCAGGATTTGTAGGTTTGCCCAATTTTTATCATAGGTGTATTTTAACTGACAGATAGAATATCAACCAAAAATCCACATGATACAAATCTTATAAACCGAGTTGCAGTTCAGTGAGTATAATAAGCATTTGATCCCCTACCAACCAACCATAATTCTGGCTCCCATAGAATGCCTATGTGCTCATGTGGTACAGAGATTAGTCCTGTCAATTTAGGAAGGTGCTCCTAATGACAAGTAATTATGTGTATTAAAGACACCTGTCCACAGAACCTCTTTCTTGGGCACCACCATGGGCAAGACCAAAGGAACTGTCAAAGGACATCAGGGACAAGAGTACAGACCTAGAAATAAAATATGCAGCGCTTTTAAAATTAAAATATGAACAAGCAGAAAATCAGAACATGAACAGCATAACTGCATGACAAACTCAGTCCATATTGCATGGTGCGATAAAGTGATAGGTGCAATTGTCCCAATAATCCATGTTCAGAGAAATTCGTGACTCTTGTGATCTCGTGATTTGTACAAAAAATGCACTAACCAGATAGCCCCTGACCTTTGTATCCATACCACAAGGCCATCCTGACTGACGCCCTGGTGGCCAGACTTTGCTTTGATGTAAGTTTTTTCCTTCAATTGTACTTGGTGTAAGTTTTACCTATTAAAGACATACTACACTATCAGAGGCTTCTCTGGGTCTCATCTATTGTATGGGAGCCCGTTTTTGAAGGTTACGCCTGTTTGGGAATGATGTATGATCACCCCCTCCTCCCGCTGATGATCTCTCTGGTGGATGACTTACCAATATACCTGGATTGATGACATCTGGTGGCCAAACCTGCAGATGACATCCTCCTAATATTACAAGTCCAGAGCACCAGGAGCGGGTCTTAATTGCTCCATGCGCATTTATTGCGCTATCTGGTTAGTGCATTTTTTGTACAAATCACGAGATCACAAGAGTCACGAATTTCTCTGAACATGGATTATTGGGACAATTGCACCTATCACTTTATCGCACCATGCAATATGGACTGAGTTTGTCATGCAGTTATGCTGTTCATGTTCTGATTTTCTGCTTGTTCATATTTTAATTTTAAAAGCGCTGCATATTTTATTTCTATGTTTCTATCTGGGTCCCAAGGTTACCTTTTATGCTAGCTGCTTCACTTACATGTTCCCAGCGCTCTATTACCTACTTATACAAGAGTACAGACCTGCACAAGGCTGGAATGGACTACAAGACCATCAGCAACAAGCATGGTGAGGAGACAACTGTTGGAGCGATTACTTGCAAATGGAAGAAACACAAAATAACCATCAATTGCCCTAGTTCTGGAGCTCAATGCAAGATTTTGCCTGATGGGGTCCAGAATTACATGGGAGGAGCTTGTGAATGACCTTAAGGCAGTTTAGACCTCAGTCACCAAACAAACCATTGATAACACAATACGCCGCCATGGATTAAAATCCAATCCAACGTCGTCCGCAGGGTCCCCCTCCTCAAGAAGGCACATGTACAGGCCCACCTGAAGTTTATCCCAATCCTTCTCTGAATCATTTAGGTGTTCATTGGTAAAGTGCTGTGGTCAGAGGAGACCAAAATTGAGCTCTTTGGCATTAACGCTACTCACAGTGTTTGGATGAAGAAAAATGACCCTAAGAACACTATCCCTACAGTCAAGCACGGAGGTGGAAACATTATGCTTTGGGGCTGTTACTCAGCTAAAAAAGCTACAGGCCAACTTTGCCACATTGAGGGGCCAATGGACGGGGTCATGTATTGTAAAATCCTGGATGAGAACCTTCTTCCCTCAGCCAGAACACTGATGATGGGTCATTCATGGGTCTTCCAGCATGACAATGACCCAAAACATATTGCCAAGGCAACAAAAGGAGTGGCTCAAGAAGTAGTACATTAAAGGTCATGGCGTGGCCTAGCCAGTCTCCAGACCTTAATTCTATAGAATATTTAAGGAGGGAGCTGAAACTTAGAGTTGCCAAGCAACAGTCAAGAAACCTTAAGGATTTAGAGAAGATCTGTAAAGAAGAGTGGACCAAATCCCTCCTGAGATGTGTGCAGACCTGGTAACCGACTACAAGAAAACGTCTTACCTCTGCTTGCCAACAAGGGTTTCTCTACCAAGTATTAAGTCATGTTTTGCTTGGGGATCAAATACTTATTTTACTCACTGAACTGCAACTCAACTTATAACATTTGTATGTTTTTTTTTTCTGGATTTTCTATTGATATTTCTATCATTTAAAATACACCTACGATAAAAATTATAGACCCTTCATTTTTTTGTAAGTGGGCAAACTTACAAAAATCTGCAGAGGATCAAATAATTATTTTCCCCACTGTACCACCTCACAGCAAAGTGGTGCACTTGCTATGCAGTGACATGCAGAGCAGGGCGATGTTTTGTAAACAGGTTGCTTAATAGTGCACTGCTCTGGAACGCAGCAAAACACTGCATTTTAGTCCAAACACGACATAGAAAACTAGTGCTTTCTATGTGCAATTGCAGTTACCTGCGTTTTTCCAAGAGGAAAAATGCAGGTAACTGCACACAGTGTGAATGGGCCACAAGATGTTAAGCACTGCAAGCAGAAAACAATGTATGTCGTAATCTATACCTAAAGAGAACTTTTTATGAAAACACTTTTAAAATGCAAATTAAAATAATAGTTCATGCATGCACACATGCAAAACCCAGTATTGTGACTTTGATGATGCAACACCTAGGATTCTCTATGACTTAAGGGTTTTAGTGCCACTAGCCACACAGTTTAGAGGCCATAGGCTTTCCACATCTCCCTCTTAGTAAGTTAGGGCTAGTTTAGATTAGTGGTGCTCTCTGAAGAGCAATCTGCATTCAGAACACTCTTCAGAGGCCATTTGACAGACAGCATGGAGACCTTGTATTACTTCCTTACCACCTGTTAGAACCACTTAAATACTGATGTTGTAGGGCACCCCCTTTCAGTTCAATGGATCAGGTTCCGTGAATGGTACTGCGCCCTGAACGTGATGGCAGAGATCATTTTTGCTGTGCTGCAATGCAAAGCATTGAGTAGTATTGAAGCATATGTACTCCTCCCACTGCTGCCTATGCTTTGGTAAAAGCATTTACCAAGCATTTATTTTTACCAACTCCCCAATCAAAGTGTAAATGAGGCCTTATTACGCTCCTATATTTGCAGAAGGGTCAGGCACCAACAATACACAGGACAACATCACTCCTTACAGTTCCGTCCTGCGTTCCCCCTTCTTATTTGATTCACAGTTGCATTTAGTAAAACAAGAAGTAGATGATAAAAGAGCAGAAGAGAGGGAGTTTTAGGGAGGGCTAGACTGGCAAAAAAAAAGAATAACAGTGCCTACAAAAGAACTTCCTGTTAGGGAACGATTATATCACTTTACTGTAATGGTAGGTCCCCCCTCATCACTTCTTACGAATGCTGAAAAAATAAGACTAGACAACAAATGGATAAGATCAATAAAGCAAAATGTAAAAACTGATTTTCCAGTATGCATGCATGCTGTGATTAACATCTCCAGAAGGTTTGCACTAGATGTATGATCTGCCATAATGTATTCTTCCCAATAATGGGAAAAAATAGTGAAAAGATTTTAGATTTAACTTAGAAGTCGTTTATTTTTGTGTTATGTTTCTATGCAGTTTTCTCAGTCCTTTTGTGATGAAGTGAAAAAAAAGAGAGAATGAAATGACAGTTAATACCATATTAACTTTGTCAATTATTTAGAACCTTCAAAAGAATGTATTTAAGCCGTACACTGTTTGTATAGCAAGTTAAATTGATCATCAACTAGATGGATATATATAATTACATGTATTCAGCAACAAATGCCACATATGCTCTCTATGTTATTTCACAGTGTCCTAAGGGGAATTAAAACGTAGTGCTGCCATAGCAACTGCTTTTTGACAGCATTCCACTAAGAGGCCGCAGTTTAGATACTCATTCCTTGATCTCTTTAAATTCAGGGACTACAATCATAAAACCTATTTTGCTTTAATGAGGAACTGTAGCGCCATCTAGTGCAAGATCTGCAAACAGGACCAGTGTACTTGGAAAGTTATCACATTTAAGAAAACCTGTGCTGAGTTGCTGAAGAAACACGGACACATGCTGTACTTTTCTAAACCTTAAAATATGAAAAATGGAGTCACTTCTGCACCAGATACATCAAATTCTTTACAGGTATGATCTGTTAATAGCCCTCCCTTTGACCCCCTGCCCCCCCCTTTTAAAAATTGGATTTTTGTACTCACTGTAAAATCCTTTTCTCTGAGTTTATTGAAGAACACAGCCATTCTTCACGGCAGATGGGGTATGATGTCTCCACCTACATAGACTCTAGATGCAACTAAACTAAAAGCGCACCTGGGGGCGCAGTATAGGACATGTACTCTAGATATATAAAGACAGGGTGGATACTGTGAACTTCAATGAACTCAGAGAAAAGGATATTATAGTGAGTACAAAAATACAATTTCCTCTATCATGCATTCAGTGGCACAGCCATTCTTTATGACAGATATTCTTCATGACATTGGAAAGCAGTAACAGAAAGAAGGGTGGGCCCATAAAACAAGGAGAGGCAGGACATGGGTGACTGAAAACCTGCAGGGATGAAATCCCAGTAAGCAGAAGAGGCCTTCCAGACACAATAATAGACGAAAGGAGAAGTGTACTTCTGTGCTACAAGCGGCATGAAATAACTGCTGGAGATAGGCCTGTATTCCTCAGCATCTGGGTCTCAACATCAAAGCTACTATTAAAACCAAGGACTGACATGTAGGGTGGAAGACTGGACCTTGGGGGGGGAATCATGGTGGAGAAGAAAGCTGTGGTTTGCAAAAAAACATCCCTGGTGGCCTGTCCAGAGCTATGATTATAAACAACCAAGCATCATCTTTCTCTATTCTGGACAGCAACCAGGCAAGGAGCTTAAAAGGGGGAGGGAATATATAAGGTGTACTTGTACCATAGAGCATGCATGACCACTGCACCTGGTCCAGACTCTGGTGACTGAGATAGTCCACTCACCAGTAGTCCACTTCTGGGAGGTGAACTACCAACATGGCAGGAAATAGAGAGGACTCCAGAGACATTGCAGAGCTCCTGGCGAGCCCTAGGTGATAGATGTAGGCTACTGCTGTGGATAGTTAACAGAGAACCTGGAACACAACTCCATGTCAGTAGAATCTCTAGTAGAGTTTTAAAATGGGGTTGTGCATAGGTGACTGCTTCAAAGGGAATCCCCATGAGGCCTAGAAGCCTCATGCAAGGATGGACTGAAGGGGTCTGTAAAAGATAAGCAAAGGACATAAAGACGTAGCATATGGTGTTCTTCCTGTGGAGAGAAGACTATGGCCACAGAAGTGTCCAGAGTGAGTCCCAGGCACTCCAAAAAGGGGAGAAGGCCTCAGGAGTGACTGGCCCAGAGCAAGTCCAACTGAGGTCTTGCAGAGACATGATTGAGATGGACAGCTCATGTTTCAAATCCAAACTGGACTGAGCTCACAGGAGAAATGCATCCAGATATCCCAAAAGAGATATCCTGCAGAGGTGTAGACCAGAGCCACCATCTCAGAAGACTTGTAGTTCCCGACACCAATCCAAACAGAAAAGCTAAGAACTTGTAGGTAGATCTCCCACTGTCGACCAAGGAAATCATTGGTGGATGCGCAAATGGACATAGATATGAGCATCCCTGAAGACGATGAAAGTTAGAAGTCTGCTCAATGTAAGTTAGCTGCCACTGAATGCACTGATTTCATGCAAAAAGTGTGCACTTAGAAGAAAGTGTTCAAGGAGTTTTGATCCCTATTTGGACAGATGCCAACCTCCCAGGGAAACGAAAAAAAAAAAAAACAAACCAGAGTTAGGCATACTGGTAACTCTATTTTCTGCAGTTTTCCAGGACAGCCCTTGAGATGTAGCTCCTCCTCCTAAAACAGAAAACACATTGCCCCGAAAATATAAAAGGACAGGACCTTCAGTGAAAATAGAATACCGAAGGCTGCACCTGACAAACATTGCAAAAACCCAAAAAAACAAACAAAAGAAATCGCAAATGAAAATGGGGGGGAATTCAGCTGTCCTGGATAACTACTGGAAATAGAGTTACCGGTAAGTCTAACTCTAGAACTCGGACTCTGGAAGAAGATCCCAAGAGGTGGAAAAGCACATCAAGGGTTGAAAGTACAAAAATACCCCCTCCTGCAGCGTTCACCTTCCCAGTAAAGGCAGCACATGCCTCTTCCCCCCTCAGCCTCCCTGAGCACAAAGATCACATAACTTCATACAAAATGAAGTTTGCAGTTACCTTCGAGCACACAACCTTGCACAATAGATAGTATGATGGACACGCTTCAGTCAGGGGTGTCAGGGGAGACACTTAGAGCAAGGGAATACCTATAATGTAAACCGATGCACCCAATCCCCAACATGGGAGCATACTCGTGTTTCTGAGGGCAAACCTGGGACTTTTAGTTCTCCAAGGAAAAGATCGCTAAGTAAGGGGGCGATCACCTCTGAACTTATCGGTGATGCCTGCTGATATGCAGAGTCGCAACAAAAGTACTCTGTCAGACCAGTGTACGTGCACAACAAGGGCCGAGCCCATGCTGGTCACTCTTGGGTGTGGGTTATGCACTCGGTGGTTGTGCTGGGGAGAGTGGTGGTTGGGGGGGGGGGCAACTACTCGAATCTAGGATACCTGGCCTGTCACCACAGCTGACTGAAGACAAAACCTAACTAACTTCTAGGAATTGGGGGGGTGTATGTGTTCGGCCGCCTCCAGCTGTACTTGTAGTTTAGTTGCATCTAGCATTCTGCTCCTGTAGGTGATGACATCAAATCCCATCCACCTGTGTTCTTCAATAAAAACAACAAGAAATATTACCAAGGACCTGAGATCAAACATCCTAAAATCAAAATTCTCATACACCCCATGTAAAGAAAAAAAATACTGTTCCCAAACAAATTATTTGTTTTTACATTTCATAATGAAAACCCTGCTTCCTCTAAATTTTTAAAACTTGAGGGAAGATCAGCCATGTCATACAGGCAATCAACAATGACGGCTGGTAATATAAGTAATAAAAGTCAAATTTAACCCATACTCACCAAATAATGTAAGCTTCAGTATTCGACTGCACTGTATGGCAAATGATAAATCAGAACTATCAAAAGATAGTGATGAGGTCTCCATCTAAAAATGACAGAAAATGCAAAAGCTGAGCAGTGGATGGAAAAACAAAACAAAAAACAAAACAGAAAAATATGTCCATTTTAAACAGCTGTCATCATCAATAAAAATATTTTAATGCTGCACCAGTCCAGAAGATATATGCACATTTCTTATGTAAAACAGCTTAAGGCAATCACTGCTTTGATAAACTGTCCAAGTGCCAAAAGCAACTGGATGCTGCACCTCTGGAAGCCAAAGACAGTCAGGCGTCTTGCATAGTCTGAAGAAAGACCATTATGGCAGCCTCTGTTTTCCTTAGTACAAGTTTCCTGCAACTCTAAACAAATATTTCAGCTTCAAGAAGATTCTAAAGTTGGATCATAAAACAAACCTTAACCACCTCCAGCCCGCCATATAGTCCAATGACGGGCGCAAGGTGGTTCTCTCGTTCTGATAGGCCGTCTTTTGACGACCTGCCATTCTCACCGCGCATGCGCGACTCAGGGACACAGCGGATCACCGATCCACGGAAAGAGCCGAAGATGTCAGCTCGGTCATGTGATCAGCTGTGTCCAATCACAGCTGATCACATGTAAAGAGGGAAATGACGGTTATCTGCATTTCTCTCCTCTCGAGCTGTCACGCTGACAGCTCGAGAGGAGAGGAGAGCCGGTAATCGGCATTCCGCAGAGGGGATATGTACACTGATCATCAGGGCACTGATGATCAGTGTGCTCTGATGATCAGTGTGGCCCCAGAAGTGCCACCTGCCAGTGTCCATCAGTGCCAGCTGTCCCTGCTGAACAGTGCCACGTGCCAGTGCCCATCAGTGCCTACCAGTGCACATCAATGCCACATATCAGTGCCCATCTGAGCTGCCCTTCAATGTCACCCATCAGTGCCACCTATCAATGCCCATCAGTGCCGCCCATGAGTGATGCCCATCAGTGATGCCTGTCAATGCCCATTAGTGCCACCTACCAGTGCCTCCTCTTCAGTGCATCTCATCAGGGCCTATCACTGCAGCCTCATTAGCGCACATCAGTGAAGGAGAAAAATCACTTATTTACAAAATTTTAATCACAAAAACTAAGAAAAAACTTTTTTTTTTTTTCAAAATTTTCAGTGGTTTTTAGTTTAAGAAAAAATAAAAAACCCAGAGGTGATTAAATACCACCAAAATAAAGCTGTCACAAAAAAAAATGATAAAAATTTCATATGGGTACAAAGTTGCATGACCGCACAATTGTCAAAGTGTGACAGCGCTGAGCGCTGGAAATTGGCCTGGGCAGGAAGGGGGTATAAGTGCCCTGTAGGTAAGCGGTTAAAGCAGAGCTCCACCCAAAAAGGGAAGTTCCGCTTTAAGCCTTTGTCCCCGCTCCCCATTAAGGACTGGCATCTTTGCAGAAGGGGTACCTGAATTTGGCAGGTACCCGCTCCCACTTCCGCTGTGATCGGAAGCAGAAGTTGTCCTCCCTCCTGCCCTTAGTCTTCAGGTACACGTGACAGGTCCCAGAAGACAAACGGGCCATTCACAAAGTGCAGCGCTTCTTGCACATGCGCAGCGGCTACCCGGCTGTGAAGATGCAAGCTGTCAGAGCCGGGTGCCCAGACTGAAGATGCTGGTGCCAGGGGGAGATGACGGCCAGTGAAACCAGCGGTGGTGAGGACCGCTGGACCGAGGGACAGGTAGGGGTCTGTATTTTTAAAAATCAGCAGCTACCGTTTATTTTTTTTTTTTCAGGTGGAACTCCACTTTAAGGCTCCATGTACACGAGCCTATTCAGACCACCGGCCACGGGAAACCGCAAATCATAGCAAAACCACAGCAACCGCAGTACCGTGAGTTTAGGAGCTGCTCATGTACATAAAGCCTAAAGCTGCAACATCCCTTCATATAGGTTTCCAAAACATGCCCACCTGCTGTGATAAACAAGGATATATGTTATTTTAGGATAATCTGGAAAGTCTTGGATAGTCTTAGAAAGGAGTAGAACCTATATCAGATTTTACTACTGTGACATCTGCAGCGATTGGTGCCACCTGGGAGAGGAAGTGAAGGGATACGGGCCACGATAAAGAGTAAAAGCCCCAGGAGGGGCACAATGAAGAGGGAATATCTCTCTCTGCTTTCATTCATTGTGTACTATTGTGATCTCTGATCACATGGTACAGGGTCAATCACAGCAGACCTGAACCATGTGATAACTGTGGCCAATCACAGCTATCACAATGAATGCCATTCATAAAAATGATTGCTAGTGATCATCACCGTACTAAGCAGTCATAGTGAAAAAGAAACAAATCCTGATCACCTCCCCAGAGCAGTACAGTGTCACTATTGTCAGCCTGAGCCTTGTGGTATGCCCATACTCAGAAGGCATTGTAGAAGGTGTTTTGGGGTGTCATGTTAAGTATGCCTATGCTGTGTATAAGAAACAACTTTTTTAAAATGAAAACTTTGTAAAAAACAAAAGACAAAATTTTAATTTCATCATTTTCCAAAAAACTGGAACAAAAAATTGCAACTTTAAAAACTCATCATGCCTCTTACTAAATACATTGAAGTGTTTACATTTCAAAAAGGGGGGTATTTCCACTGTCTCTGAATTTAAGGGCTGTCAGTACATCAGGATTGATCAATTTTCAAATAGAATCTATCGATCTATATCTCTCATAGTTTGCAAACTAACTTTCACTCAGATTAAATAATATAAGCTGATTTAGGTTCTTTTTAACAAACAAATGTAAAATACATTTTAGCCTAAATTTATGAAGATTTTGAAAATTTTATAAAAAATAAAAAAAAAATTAAAATTTCAGTATTTTTCGTTTATATAGCAAAAACAAATGTTAAAAAATACTGTAATTAATACTGCCACTAAAAAAAGCTCTGACTAAAAAATAAAAAAAAAAATTCATTTGGGTACAGTGTTGCATGATTGCGTAGCTGGCATTGAAAGTGTGACAACCCTGAAATCTACAAATTGGCCTGGGCAAGAATGGGATAAAAGTGTCCAGCAGTGAAGTGGTTACATAAAATTTTTAAGATGTGTTGTATTAGTAAACACAAGAAAGAAATCGTTACAGAAACCAGTGGTGTTTTACACAGTAAACACACATTCTGCTAGCACCACCATGTGGCAATGTTTGTCTATTGTTAAGATTATTTCTCCACGCAGCATGATGATGTGGCAAACCATTAAATGTTGGCTGGTTGCATTTGTTGTCTTTGCATAAACATACATTACTGACAAAAACATCTCAGCCAAGCTTTAAAAGAAAAAAAAACACAAAAGAAATTGAAATATATTCCATTCTTGAGGTTATATCTTTTAAACTGTAATTAAACTGTAATTCATACTATCCCAAACATATAAATATAAAAAAATATCTATCTGCATTAGCGTGTGTGTTCATTATATAACTAAACACACGGAAAAAAAAAAACAAAAAAAAGTTAATCTTAAAACACAACTGCAAAAGGCAAGTCATGAAAAGTAGCAGTGTGTGACATCTAAAAAAGCAGCACGTCAACTGGCAATTCCAGGTTTCAAAACAAGATCAAATATGTTTCCAAAGAAGCCTAACGGTTGGTGCTCTAACTGCAGATGGATCAGTCATTTAATGTGTCAATGAGAGCATTCAAAATGTACAACCCCCAACTTCAAACAAGTTGGAACGTTATGTAAAATCTACATAAAAACAGAAAGCGATTTGCAAATTTCATAAACCCATATTTTAATCACAACAGTAGAGAAAAAAAAAAAAAAAAAAAAAAAAAAAAAAAAGGGATTTTTTTTCTACATACTTACCTGTAAAATCCATTTCTTACAGTACGTCACGGGACACAGAGAAGGCCATAATAATGAATATGTGAGTTATATGCCACCTATAGGTAGTGGACACTGGCCGACCAAACAGGAAGTCCTCCCCCCAGATAACCCCTCCAATGTAGGAAGTACTCAGTTTTTGCAGCAAGCAATGAAAATCCAGAGAGAAGGGGAGGGACCTCTGTGTCCTGTGATGTACTCCAAGAAATGGATTTTTTAGGCAAGTATGTAAAAAAAAAAAAATATATATAATTTTCTTTACGCCAGAGTATGCCATAATAATGACTATGTGGGATGTCCCAAAGCAATAAAACCTTGAGAGGTAGGTGACATCACAATAACCACCACCAACATCCCAAAAGGAGCTACTCAGCTGTTCACAAAACACCGTGGCCCAGGGCAGAATCCTCCATGGCTCTAAAATCCACCTGGTAAAACCTTGTGACTGTATGAACCGAAGCCCATGTAGCAGCCTTGCAAAACTGACGACTGATGGCGGATAGCCAAAGATGCCCCAACATTCCTGTTAGAGTGTGCTCTCACCCGAAAGGGTGGAACCTTGCTCTTCGAACCTTAAGTTTGAATGATTAACTGACGAATCCACTTAGAAATATTTGATTTAGATGCTGTCTGTCCTCTCCTGGGTTCTTCCAGCAAAATAAACAAAGAATCAGCCTTTCAAATCTGTGCCGTCAATCTCAAAAAGTCCCTTAATGCCTGAACCACATCCAGGGCATGTAAAGATCTCTCTCTCTCTCATGCCGAGTGAGGCCTAGGAAAAAAAGAAGAGGGAAGTACGATATCCCGATTCAAATGGAAACTAGTAACCACCTTTGGCAAAAAGGACAGATGTGGTAGCAATAACATCTTATCCTGATGTAAAACTGAAAATGGTTCTCTACAAGAAAGATCTGCCAACTCCGACGCCCTTCTTGCTGAGGTGATTGCCACCAAAAACAGAACCTTTCGAGTCAGCAGAACTGAACAGAATTTCCCCGATAGGCTCAAATGATGGTTTCTGTAAAACAGCCAAGACAAAGTTCAAGTCCCCAAGGACACAGGGGTTGTCTGACAGGAGGAACAGAACGCATTATTCCCTGTAAGAAAGAATGAACCAAAGCGTGAGAAGCAATCCTTTCTTTGGAAAAAAAACAGCCCATGTTGAAACCCAACCCTTAATAGTACCAA